AGGTCTACAAATTTTTGCAAAGGAGTCTTGAGAAAATAACATGACTCTACTATTAGGATAACACATGCTTAACCAAATGTATGTAATGTTGAACAGCATAGATTAAAATCAACATTTATTTAGCTTTAGACAAAGTCTATAGGATATAAATATATTAGACCTTGTGCTAAAAGTAGTACCTGAATACCTATACTTTTTGTAGTTATGTTCATTTCCTCAATCTGCAGCTGCTATAACTTATATCAAATAAGATGAAATTAATTATTTAATCAATGGGTAAGGATATTCTATAGCTCTTTATGTGATTAATGGTTAGGAAAACAGCCTCTGGAACTAGAATGTCTGGGATCAATTCCCAATGATGTTACTTACTAATCCTGGGAAGGATGGGTGACTCTGCAAAGAATATCTTGCACAGAATTTAAAAATTTGAGATAACCAAGTTTGAGATGGGCAGGAACAAATGAAATGCCAGGACTTAAATGCATTTATCTCTTTCTCTGCCAACTTCATTTTCTTCTACTGCATTCCCAGGATCCCATGTGCCAACTTTGGCCACTGCAACTTTGTATATATGAACACAGCAGCTTTGATGAAACTACCTTTAATATGTTTTCCAACAAAGAGGACAGGCCATCTTTTCCCTGAGCTCTAGTTGGAAACTTCTGCCCAATGACTGCCCAAGCTTGCAATCATATTAACTGTTGGGCAAGTATTAGTTTTCTATTGCTGTGAAACAAAGTACCACAAATTTCATGTCTTGATTCCAAACATTTATTATCCGATGGTTTCTGTGAATCAGGAGTCTGGGCTCTGCTCAGGTTCTCACCAGGTTGAAATCAAGTTGTTAGTTGGGACCGTGATCTCATCTGAAGCTGTGGGTCCTCTTTTTCCAGGCTCATTCAAGTTACTGGCACATTTAAGTTCCTTGTGATTGTAGGACTGAGATCCCTGTGTTCTGGCTGGCTGTAGGCTGGGGCACACTCTTCAGCCCCCAGGAGGCAAGGCTCATGTTCTAACCACCTGGCCCTCTCACATCATGACAACTTACTTCTTCAAAGTCAGCAGGAGAAAGTCTCTTTTGTTCTGGTACAGTGAAGTCTTGTACAAATAACATAATCATGGAAGTGATGATCTCGTCATTTTTACAGGTCTACCTCAGGGGTGGGGGTGTGGATTATACAGGGTGTGAATTCCAGGGGTGGAAGTCTTAGGTGTCAACCTAGAATTGTGCAGACAGTAAGGGTTAGAGTATTGTGCCTGGACCGGCCAGGGTCATTGGCCACTCTATGAGCTCACAGAGAGCTCCCTTATCTTCTGCTCTCCTCTAAGGAGAGACCAAAACAGTACCAGTAATTCATCTGGGTTAGAAGATTTAAGGAGGGATGTTTTTATGTTGGTCTTTAACTTTTTTCTCTCATTTTTCAGGGTATAAAGATAGTGGATCTTTCCCGCTGGATATAAAGCCCTTGTAGTAAATAAGTCAGGGTTTCCTTGTCTTGCCTTTCCTGTCCCTCCAGCTAAGATAGTTTCTTCATCAAAGTGTCTCAGTAAAAATTTACTGCACTGAAGTCATTAGACATGTTAAATGTACTGATAATCTCATTTAGAAATAAATTCCCACCCATCCTGGCATACTTGTTAACAAATCTAGCAGGAAAGTCATAAACATAATGGACCAGACCTCAAATTATTTCACAACCACCCCATTCCAGAGATGAAGATCCTTTTTGTTTGGTCTCAATTCTCCATATGACATTTGTATTTTAGTTCACACCAATAAATAGAGATAAATCCAAGTTTTAATCTTGGATTCTGAAATACAGCCAATAACACTTTATTAAATATACCATTTTCACTCTAAGCAAATTTATTTGGATTAATCCAGATGATTAAATCATTCCACAAAAGATCTGTTGCAATAACCACTTTTCATTTGTATAAATAAATATGCTAAAAAGATAATACCACAAATTGGTAGGAAATTTTGCATTGTAGGAAAAGGCCAATCCTAGTTACAGAACTAAAACACCAAACTTTTTGGCATCACATTTAAGAAATAAATACAGATGAAAAACATGCTGCTAATCCATCTTTTATTTTCTTTCTCTTGTAACTCATGCCAGCAAAATAAAGCTTAGAAAATCTATAGCAACAATGGCTTTCCTTTAAGTAGTGATAGAAATCTGGCTCACTTTGATTACATGTCAGCTTATAAAAGTGTTCTTTTTGTGAGAAAATTTAGAGTAAAATATCCCCTTGGAAAGAGGACATTTAAAAAGACCTGTAAGAACAGGGGACAGGAGACAAGGGAAGACAAAAACAGTACATCTACTCTATCTAGGTTAGAAGACTTCAGGAAGAATGTTTTGTGTCGGTCTTTAATTTTTAAGCACTATTCCATTTTAACCTCAAAACAGTATACTTTTCCACAATCTGGAATGTGACCAATCTTGCTAGTCTAAAGAGTAAATCATTAGAAAAGAAAGATTCTCACATACATCACAGACAATTCAGAAAGAGACTCTTCAGATTCAAAGCAGAACCAAGTTAGAGGAACCCTGTAAGCCATGCATTAATTTTTCTAGAGTGACACGACTCACCTTAAAACTTGTATTTGCTGTTTCAACAACATTTAAGAATATTTACAATGAGGCAAGTTCCAAACCTAGAAAAGGGAGATGACAGTTTTATAATATTCCTTCAGGAAGTATTTATTCGGAAAATATTTGTTGAGTGCTCACTATGTAATGTATCACAATTGGCTTGTGAGTGATATGAAAATCAAAGGACGTACCCCCATGGAGATTACAGTCTGATAGAGATACTAAGATGTTCACATAAATTATATAAAAAATAGAATTCAATGAGCCATGCATTAGAGGCACTAAATGCCACAGAAGCATGGAGGAGGGGGACAGATCACTTGTTAGGAAACCAGGAAAAGTTTCATGAAGAAGGTGAAATAAGAGGAAAGTATTACAGGGGAAAATGGTAACTGAAAATGTATGAAGTAAACTGAAATATTTCTGGAGGCTGTCAATGGGCACAGAAGGAATCAGAGAGGCTGAGGAGCCATTGAAGACACTGGGAGTAGGAAGGTAACATTACCAGAACTGAATTCTAGGAAGATTCATCTGGAGACAGTTGAAAAGATACTAAAACAGAGGAAAAACTAGAGAGAAGGAGACCAGTTCGAGATCAATCTGATAAAGACTGAAGGGATGCCAGGTATCTAGATGTGATGCTGTCGTTTATAATAAAAATATTTGGCCTTCATCCCTGTTTCCCTTGGAATTTCCTAAGTGATGGGAACCAAAAAGGTGTCTTTTGCTATTTTAATGAGATGACTTTTGTTTTTTTTTTATTTTTTTTTTCAACGTTTATTTATTTTTGGGACAGAGAGAGACAGAGCATGAACGGGGGAGGGGCAGAGAGAGAAGGAGACACAGAATCGGAAACAGGCTCCAGGCTCCGAGCCATCAGCCCAGAGCCTGACACGGGGCTCGAACTCACGGACCGCGAGATCGTGACCTGGCTGAAGTCGGACGCTTAACCGACTGCGCCACCCAGGCGCCCCATAATGAGGTGACTTTTGTACAAATACCAAGAATGGGGGCTGGTTGCCAGTGGCGCCAACCATATGATCAGAGAGTTGGAACTTTCAGTCCCACTACCTCCAGGAAGGGGAGGAGGGCTGGAGGTTGAATCAATAGCCAATGGCCCATGATTTAATCAGCAGTGCCTATGTAATGAAGCCTCCATAAAACAAACAAAAAGGATGGGGAGCTTCGGGGATGGTGAACACATGGAGATTTGGGGAGATCGAGGACAGGGTGTGGAAGCTCCAGGTCTCTTCCCACATACCTTGCCCTTGCATCTCTTCCACGTGGCTGTTCCTGCGTTCCATCCTTTTATAATAAACTGGTAATCTAGTAAGTAAACTGGTTTCCTGAGTTCTGTGAGCCACTCTAGCTGTGCTGACAGCTCGGAACCTGGAGCCTGCTTCGGATTTTAGGTCTCCCTCTCTCTCTGCCCCTCCCTTGCTCGCAGTCTGTCTCTCTTTCTCAAAAATAAATAAACATTAAAAAATTAAAAAAAAAACAAGAAATTAATTCAAAACTGTGTCCCTTCAGGGCTGCTCACAGCCTGGTCGGCTTCTGTTTCTTTTTCATGAGGCCCATGTTTCCCCGTCGCGTCCTCCTTCACCGCCTCCCCTTCCCTCCCTTCTTCCAGGCAGAGTGGAATTCTCTCCTCCACGCGCCAATGTAGCGGGACTCGCCTCCCACTTCTCTGGCTTCCCGCCGCTCACCGTTTCCATGGAGACCTTCTCTTAATTAACTCAACCTAGGGACGGGGCACGCGGGCTGAACGAAACCCGCGGGAGCGGCGAGCCGCCGCGGCTGGAAGAGCGCGAGCAGAGCGAAAGCTCGCTGAGCGAGAGCCGGGAGGAGGAAGCTGGGAGCGCCGCCGCCAGGTGGGCTGCGGTCGCGGGCTCGCGCGCCACCTCTGCGCCTGCCCGACCGGCGCCGGCGCGCGAACCTGGCGAAGCGCGCTCGGCGGGGCGGGGAGGGCTGTGTGGGCGCAGGCCCGCTCGGGCGCCTTGACTTCAGGTCTTTGCTCTCTCCTCCTGTCCCCACCAATTTAACCATTGTTAAAACCCGGGTCCTTTCCTTTGAACACTGTTCCGCTCTCCCGCGGCCCAAAGTTGGCTCCGCGGGCTCTTTCTAAACCAGCGCGCCTCGGGGCGCAGACTCACGCAATTGAATTTGAGCCGGGATTTGCACTTGAACAGGCAGCCGGGAGCGGTCTTTCCACTTTGGCTTTCTTGCTGGAGCACAAAGCCTTCGAAACTCTAGTTTACGCTGAAGAGTTGGAGGAGGGGGCGGGAATTAATACTGTAACCCCGTGATAGACAGTTACATCAGATTGTTGAGAAAAATGAACAAGGTTAAAACCTGGCAGTTTTGTGGAGGCGTCTGGATTGGATTATTACGTATTTCTTTTTAACTGGGTTGAATTTTATCTGAGGTGAACACCTTGATAGGAACTAAAGAGGATTTTGCAGGAAGAAACTTGCTTTGCAGTGGGCTTTAGAATTGATCATAGGGACCTGTTTAAGTGATATTTTTCAGTTTTCGAAATAGATGTATTTTAAATACTAGGTGTGTTAATTTTTTTCTTTAGATCTTGAGTTGAATATAACGTTCTCAGTTGCCTAGGGAGTCTAGATTCCTAGGAAAAGTTGCACAAGCTTTTAGGTAAATGTATTTAAAAAGAAATTGAGTTGAAAAGACTTGCATGTTTTTCCCATTTCGTCAATAGTTTTGAAATATTTTTCATAACGATGGTGTTATTTTTAGAGTGTGAGGAATTACTTCCAAGAAAGTGGCAATATGTAGTTGTTCTAGATTTCTATGGATTAAGGTGAAAGTTTTACACAATGCGGTGCAAATTTGTATAATTGCCTGATAAATCATTTTACTTCTAACACCTCCTTTGTGTTTAATTATAGCAGCTTCTAGAAGCAAATTATTTTGTTATTTGTTGGAAAGTACTGGTATTTCCAGTTTTTTTAGGTGGAAGATATTATGCAGCACTTACTTGTTAATGCCTTAACATTCAGTTGGATGAACAGTCTAACTTCAAAAGATATGACATTAAAGTGACACACACACATCCAAAGACTGAATAGTTTAGTTTTGATGCTAAAAAAAATACATGTTGAATATACTTTATTTTCCAGATGGAGAAATCAATTATTCTATTGCTCTGGTTACAATATGTTGTTAAGGTAAGACATCTTTGAATGTGTTTTGTTATGAATAATTAGGTAATGGACAGGATACTGTTGCACTGAGTTTGTTTTAGAAAATGAGGGGTATGTTGAAGAGAAATAACACTAAACATTAGATTTGGTACCTAAGAAAAATTTTCTCTGCTAGATGTTGCACAAATCTGTGCAGATAGGTGGCATCTGTTTTCACTGCTTACAAATTGGGAGTAATCAATGGAGAGAGAGAGAGAGAGATCAGAATTTGGTAAAATTCATGGTATAGTGAGGCATTTTAAGGTTGTTTTTGGTAGGAATTTTGGTAAGTATACCATTCTTTTGAGAGCTGAAGTCTTCTTTACTTGTCGTCTAGGGAATATAAAAGGGCTCTGAACCTGCAGTCTAGCTATTTTATCTCAGTTGCTAACATTTTCTTTATGGTATCAATGAACTGAGCCTCTAAAATAGCTCAGCCAAACATTTTGCACTCTACTCATTTTTACTGCAAGTGTGTTACCAAGAATGTCTGTGAAATATTTTAATTTTTTAGCCATTATCATCAAGGTACACAGCTGACAAACCAGGAGGGTGTGCTGTGTTTTTCCTGTGACTTTGGGTCTCTTTGTTCTCCCTGACTCCAGGAACATGGTGTTTCCTAGTTTGAGAAAGATGGATCTTAAATGTCTTTGCCCTCATTTACTTACCTTTCTTAAGTTACTTTCAAAATTACGTTTACAAATAGGGTATCCAATGGATATTACCTAATTCGTGTGTAGAAATTGATATTGTTAAAATAGTTTTCAATTACAATTTGGCATAGTTTAGGCTTAATTTTTGTAAGTTTGCTAATAAAATAATAGTAATAACCAAGAATGTATTTTTATTTTATTTTTACAGTTACTTTTCTTTCCCATTTCAGATCGTTTGTTTCTGTTATATGCCAATGAATAATCGAACAACAGTTTTTATTGAATGGGATGAATTTCCTAAGGGAGGAAGTCCTGAATTTTATTTTTTAAAATATCAACTTGTTAATAATTTTGCTGAAAAAGTAAGGCATCTTTTTCTTGACTCTGATAAAAAGTCAGCATAGTGTAAATTTGTTGTGACTAAATGTTGCATCATAATAGGAATTTAATAGTTATTGAGATTTTTTCCCCTAGTTTTATTGAGATAATAATTGACTTGTAACATTGTGTAAGTTTAAGGTATACAACATAATGATTTGATATATGTACATATTGCAAAATGATTACTACAATAAGTTTAGCTGACATCCATTATCTCACATAATTACAAATGTTTTTCCTTGTGATGAGAACTGTTTGCAACTTTCAAGTACACAACAGTATTGTTACCTATTATCATCCTGTTGTACATTATACCCCAGAAATTTTATCTTACAATTGGAAGTTTGTATCTTTTGACTATCTTCACCCAGTATTCCTCCCACCCCTGCCTCTGGCAAACACCAATCTGATCCATTCGTATGTTTGGTTTTTTTAAAAGTCCGCATGTAAGTGAGATCAGTATTTGTTTTACTGTGTCTGAATGATTTCACTTAGTGTAATGCCCTCAAGGTCCATCCATGTTTTTGCAAATGGCAGGATTTCCTACTTTTTTACAGCTGAATAATATTCCCACGGGCGTGTGTGTGTGTGTGTGTGTGTGTGTGTGTGTGTGTGTACCAGATTTTATTTATCCATTCATCTATCAGTGGACACTTTGGTTGTTTTCTGTATCTTGGCTATTGTAAATAATGCTGTAGTGAACATGGGGGTGCAATATCTCTTTGGGATGGTAATCTTGTGTCCTTTCCGTGTATACCCAGAAGTGGAATTGCTGGGTCATTAATTTTTTGAGCACCTTCCATACTGTTTTCCACAGTAGCTGCACAAATTTGTATTCTCACCAGTAGTACACAGGGGTTCCATTTTCTTCATATGCTTATGTAGCATTTATTGTCTCTTCTTTTTTCTGATAGCCATTCTGACGGGCGCCATTCTGACATTGTGGTTTTGGTTTGCATTTTTCTAACGGCTAGTGATGTTGAGCACCATTTCATATACCTGTTGGACATTTGAATATCTTCTTTGGAAAAATGTCTGTTCAGATCTTTTGCCTATTTTAACTGGATTATTTATTTGTTTTCGTTTGTTTGCTTTTTGTCATTGAGTTGTATGAGTTCCTTATGTATTTTGGATATGAATCCACTATAGATTTGTGGTTTGCAAATATTTTCTCCCATTCCATAGGTTGTTTTTTTTTTTATTTTGTTGAACTTTTCTTTTGCTATGCAGTTATTGAGATTTTTTACTTTTATTTCATTAATGTATGAAATGTTAGCATTTTTTGAAATATCTTCAGTAAGTGGTCAAATTAACACTCAACTTTTTCATAGGAATGATTTTTTAACTATACTATATACTATATATACTATACAGAGAGTTTATATCCTATATACACTATATTATGTATATACAGAGAGTAATTATTTAAATCTTCTCATGGTTCATGGGTTTGAGCCCCACAGCGGGCTCTGTGCTGATGGTGCCAGGCCTGCTTGGGATTCTCTCTCCCTCTCTGTCCCTCCCCCACTCACTCTCTATCTCTCTCTCTCTCAAAATAGGTAAATAAAAATTTTTTTAAATAAATAAAATATAGGGGTGCCTGGGTGGCGCAGTCGGTTAAGCGTCCGACTTCAGCCAGGTCACGATCTCGCCGTCCGTGAGTTCGAGCCCCGCGTCAGGCTCTGGGCTGATGGCTCAGAGCCTGGAGCCTGTTTCCGATTCTGTGTCTCCCTCTCTCTCTGCCCCTCCCCCGTTCATGCTCTGTCTCTCTCTGTCCCAAAAATAAATAAAAACGTTGAAAAAAAATTAAAAAAAAATAAATAAAATATCATTTATGTAAAAATAAGTATTTTCTGTGTATGTTTACATTCTGTATGAAAAATTGCCTCTTATAAAAGAAATGTACAAAAGTCAGTCTTTTAATGAATGTACCTGACACAGTTAACAAATACTTCACAAGCAGATGAATCTAATTATTTACAGAATGTCAAAAGCGTTCCTGCAGACTTGCAAAAACTTTCAAAGTCAGTAATACTAGAGGAAAATGAAGACTATCACATCATTCTACAGTCTATAAAACATGGACAAATTTTAAGTGAAAAGTCATTTGAAACCCGTAAGTAATTTGTATTTTTTGTTCATCTATATTGCCTAATTATAAAAGGGAAACAATTTTATTACCAGATAATCTGAATTTTACAGTAATTAACAGGTATATGATAGTCCAAAATTGCATCATCATGTAGTGTTTTGTTTTTTAACATAATGTAAATTTCAAAATTTAAAGGAAATTGTAAACTAAAGTAAGAATAAGATTTTCATTTTTGACACTTGATGTGTACTAATATGAATAGATAGGCATAATAGAGATGTTACATGTAATCCATATTATCTACAATATTATAATGCAGATTTGTAATCTAAGTCATTCATTTTAGGTAGAGTACAAGAAACTCCCATAGAGTCTAGAAAATATTTTATAGTAGATAATATGCTTTCCTCTCATGGTGATTCTTTTGTAATATACTTCGGTATCTTGTGTTTCATTCAGTTTTATTTGAATCCAACTAATTATGGTCCTTGATTTTTTAGGGGGTTTCTCAACTAGCAATATTAAAACAAAAGCAACAAGCACGAGTGTTTCCTTTAACTGGAGTGTGCTGTCTTCCAGTGACATTTTAGTGTCAATATCTCTCAGTAATTCTACACAAATTATGGAAAATAATATTACAGCTTATGAGTGGGCTAATTTAAAACCTGCAACCTTATATGCTTTTAAGTTTGAATTTAAACAATTGCATTTGGATTTTATAAATGTATTTCAGAGACTGGATGTTCAAGTAGAAACAGGTATTATCGATATTTGGTTCATTATTAATATATATCTTGTAGATAACTTGGTAGATGTATTGTTCTTTTCAAAAGTGTTCAGCCTAATATTAGCCACTGTAAACTGCTAGCAAATGAACTAACATAGTCCCTTTTTATCTAACTATATCATTCTGACATTTGACTGATTTAGTGAACAAGCTGGATTTAGCAAGCTTAAGTTAAGAGCCAACTTTATTTTCCTTCCACCACTTTTAAAAAACTGAACCAAATAGGTTCTGTTTTCCTTAACTCTGGCAATCGTTGGTAGCTTTATAGGTGACTAAAGTATCTATAAATAGTCTCTGGTATTAACAAGTCTATTAAAATCCAACATAAAAATATCAATCTTTCATCCTATTTGAGACTTCTCCATTATTCATCCCACATCAGACCTGACCAAAATTTGGAATACTGCAAGGGAAGGGGAATGTATTTAATTTTTTATGGCTTCTCAGATCCATTTCCTTCCTCCACATGGTGGGAAAAGATTTAAGAAAAGAGGAGAGAGTCAGAGACAGCTAATCAGGGTGATACACTCTCTGTGATGGGCTAAGAGTCCTATTTTAATACCTTCTATAGGAATAAACTTGAACCACAATATATGTTTACAAGCGAAGTAGAGAAACATGTGAGTAGTAAGGAAAAGATAGTAAGGTAATTAAGCATTGCCTCTTCCCATCCTCCTTCTATAAAAACAAAAACAAAAACAAGACAACAGTTTCTTCAAAACATCCTTCACACATCTTCCTAATTTCAACATTGATAAAATACCAACAAGAGTTAAAGTATAATATATACTCTCAGCAGGTTGATATTTTCCTGTGTTTCTATGGTGTGCAATCTTAGAGAAAAAGACTTAAGTGTTTTTTGAAAGGTGAACCCATTTGAAGCCAAGTAGCAGTGGCAGAGAGAACAGTTCTTAGCCAGTATTATGTCTAGTTATTGAAAATAAAAATAAACCTGAAATAAACTTAAAAAGTCTTCATAAGAGGAAGGGAAAGGAAGGATAACCTAAAGTGACTAAAAAAAAAAAATCTGTGGTTTTTATTTTAATTAAGTTATAATTTGACAATAATTTTGCATAATTAATTCTTACAACTATTTAAAAACTATTTTAATTGGTAGTAATTCATTTACTACTTGACTAATAGCAACTTTAGCACTTTTGCTCATTTGGGAAAAATATAGGGAAAAGTGCATCATTAATACTATGAGGTTTTCATGGTTAACTACCATAGATGTTAAGAAATGTAATTATGAAATGTTATATTCCTGAATTCATCTTTCACAAAACATTTTTCTTTTGGTAGGTTCATGTTCACGAGGATGGGTAGCATTAAAAAATAGCTGTTATAAAATTAGCAAAGAGAGTATGCCGTGGGATATAGCTGAGCAACATTGTAAGTTATCCTTAAGTTCTGCACACCTTGTGGATATAAAAAATGAAGAGGAAAAAAACTTTATATTTTCACTCCTCAGGTCGAAGAATCAAATAATAATATGGACTGGTCTTAATGATTTGAAGGTAAGTATATGTAAAGAAATGCATAAAATGATAAAACTTACCCCCCCCAGTCTCTCCCTCCCGCGGGGCGGGCGGGGGGGGGCCGCCGCCTTCCTTCCTTCCTTCCTTCCTTCCCCATTCAATAAATACTGAGTACTTCTTGTAAGCCAGACCCTGTTTTCTTTTTGTTTCTCTGTGTCAATCTTTCTGTCTCTCCCTCCCTGCCTATCCTCCCCCACCTTTGCCTCTCTTTAGAGCAATTTAGGTTCATAACAAAATTGAGGGGAACGTGCAGAGATTTCCCACATACCGCCTGTCTCCACATATACATAGCCTCCCCCATCATCAGCATCCCCTACCAGAGTGGTACAGTTATTACAACTGAGGAACCTGCACTGGCACATCATAATCACCCAAAGTTCATAGTTGACATTAGGGTTCGCTCTTGGTGCTATACATCCTATGGGTTTGGATAAATGTATAATAATAGACAGTAATTATGGTATTATGCAGAATATTTTCATCACCATAAAAATCTAATGTTCTCTGCCTATTTGTCTCTTCCCACCCCCTTCAATCTCTTTTGTAGGCATCTATTTCTTTATGTAGGGTTGCTTTAATTTCGGTCTTCCCTAGACCTGTCTTAAATGTTGGTGATTTCATCCATTTCTTCAGTTATTTACCACCTAGCCCAATTGTTCTTAAATATTTACTCAGCCCACTTGTCTCTTATGAGCTCCAGACATTTATTTAATTTTCTTCTGATTATTGCTTCTGGAATTTTCCACAGACACTTTAACAATGCCCAGACCGTCATGTCATATCCTCACCAACCTGCTCCACTTCCTCTGTTTATCACCTCCATGAACAATACAGTAATGTGAACCTGCAAATATGGAAGATTTGTTCATTTTCTTTTACTTACAACATGCAGGTTTATGAAATTTAATTTTACCAGAAGAGATGTGGAAAGATCTGAAGATTTTACTCAATACTGGTGAGATAAGGAAGGTGTGACACTTTCTCAAACGTTCTTATCACTATGGAATATCTCATGAAATTTCATTTTGGTCAGCTTTGTGTGGGAAAACCCAAGACCTAGCACAGTTCTGTCTAGTCTGTATTTTCTTCTTGATGATCCATTTTTTAAAAATTTCCTGCCATTCAAAAATAAATCTGTTCTCCATGGGATAGCCTGGCATGTAGTGACCCAAGGCAAATCCTATCAGTTTGATACCAATTTTTCTGTGAAACTTGGCATAAGCTTGGGGAAAGCTATTGACAGTCTTTAATTACATTTTCATCTTCCTCTTTTTGAGCCTCCTTTATCTTTTCATGGGCAGTGGATGAAGCTCTAATAGAGATTCCTCAAACTGCAGTTCATCTCCGACATCTTACAAGCCTGCCTCCCAGCATGCCAGTCTCTTTTCAAGCAGACCAGTTAGTGTACATATAGTTGTTTCCTGCTGTTAGCATGATTGTTATAAACTGTTAAATTAGAATGTACTCTTCTTGTAGTTCTGGTTACTGGTTTCTGTTATAAGGTCCAGGTCATATGGTCATGATACCAAAGTGAAGATTCCCAAGGCACCGTCATGGTCACTGTGTATTCGAAGGAGTCTAAGACAGTCACTGCTTTTACGATACTTAAAAATAATTTAGGAGGTAAATGAAACATCAAGGTAACTATTAAGAAGAACTTCCTTTATACTAATAGCTGAGTCATACAATGTCTCCAAAGTTCTAAGTACCCTGCTATGTGCTTTTCTTGTATGACATGTGAGGAAATTGGTGCCCAGGGAGGTTAACTTGCCCACGTGGAATGCATCAGAGTCTGCTCTTAACCATTATATTCTAACCTCTGCATCAAGCTGGTCTCTTGAGGTTAACCATCAAAGTCACCTGCAGGGTTATAAGCCTGTGACAGGTAGAGAAATTAATCTCCCCATCCACTCATGCTGAATAAGTGTGAATTTGTTACTGGACGTGGAGGATAAAAACTGTGTCTTGTTCATCATTGCGTTCCCAGCTTCCAGTTAGAGGCTGGCATTTCGCAGGAATATAAAGGCTAATAGTTCTAAATTCCAATCTAGAAAGTTTATATTGGTAACTCTTATTTTGTTCTCACAACAACTTTATGAGGTAGGCACTATCATTCTCCTTTATAGGTAAGGAAAATGGAGTTCAGAAGAATCCTGGTCACATTGCTGACAAATGCCCGTGCCAGGCTTTGAATCTGTGTCAGTCTGACCAACACTGTGCCCTAACCTCTGAAGCATACTGCCTCTGAGCCTCTGACTGTTTTCAAAACTGCTGTGCTATATATTCAATAAAGCATTGAAATAAATTTTTTTATTGAAAAATAAATTTTTCAAGGAAACAGTATTCCTCCATTCTGTTAGGTGGAATTGGAACGTATTAACATCTCTTATATGTGAGAATTGAGGTCAGTGATGGTCACCAGTGACATCCCTTAGCAGAAAGGTGTCGGCAACCTCCACCGACACATGTGACTTATGTGATGACTTGAAATAAAGTAACTAACAGCTAATGAATAATGGTCTGTCCCTTCACATGCACTGCCTCTTTAATCCTTGGATAGCTTAAGATGCAAGTAATATTATGATACCCACTTTTTTTGGATGAGAAAATAAAGGTGTAATGTGAAATTCAGCAGTTTGCCTGAAGACCTATGGCTAATGAATGAATAAAAGTGAACTCTGTCTCTAGCTCAGAATAACTCACAAAGGAGAAGTATTTGAAGATATGACACTTTTCGTTCAAATTGGCTTATTAATTTGTATATCTTATTTCAGAAAGAAGGTCATCTCACATGGATAGATGGATCATCTTTTGGCCTTAAGAAAAATGAAATCTTTTCTTTTCCACTGCTACCCAAGAATGAAACAGATTGCTACATGTTACAGCAAAATGCAACTGGATCAAACTATTTCTTTACAAGATTTTTCTGTTATGTTCCACTGCCATATATTTGCAAATACGAGTGTAATTATTTTTTATTGATATTCTCATATCATGTATCTCCCTTTTATTATTTTATTTTTTTTCCTACGTTTTTATTTATTTTTGGGACAGAGAGAGACAGAGCATGAACGGGGGAGGGGCAGAGAGAGAGGGAGACACAGAATCGGAAACAGGCTCCAGGCTCTGAGCCATCAGCCCAGAGCCTGATGCGGGGCTCGAACTCACGGACGGCGAGATCGTGACCTGGCTGAAGTCGGATGCTCAACCGACTGCGCCACCCAGGCGCCCCTCTCCCTTTTATTATTTTAAAGATAGAATTATGATTTCTAGTTACAAGTAATGCTCCTCTCTATTTTTTTTCAGCACTTTCTCTGCAGGAAAACCTTTCAATCTATATAAAGGATATCGGAACAACTGAAGTTGTATTTGGTTGGCATAATTCGAATGGTTGGAATAATTTGGATAAGTGGCTAAAACTGGGATATAAAATTATTATTAAATATTATTTAGATTATACAGAAGAACAACATTTTGACAGCATATCCCCAAATGCAACAGAAAAAACAATTACCCAATTGTGTCCTGGCCATGTTTACAGATTTTTACTCTTTGCAATAAATGAATGGGAGGCAAAAACTATGTTAACTTCAATATTCGTTGTTGAAACACGTAAGTCACAAAACATCTGAAAGTATGATTTTTCAAATATTGAATATTATAATTAGCAGATATTTCCTGAAGGTCTAGTATTTTCTCATAACATTCTGGGCATACCTATATCTTTAGCCATTTTAAATTACAATGATGTATTTATATCTTTGGTTTTTCTATTCAACTATAAACCCATAAGGGCAGGAACTATATCTGTTTGTCTTATAGCACCAATTAGACTGGTGCCCAGCCCACAGTGGATAATTAATACATTTTTGTGGAACTTACATTTTGATATGTGCTAAGAGCAGGAGATAAACAGGTATGTATTCTGAATTTGGGGAGGCTTACAATGAAGAGAATTTGTAAGGTGTAAAAGTAAAAGCAAGCAAATGGTAGCAAACTGTTGCAAAATATAATGGCCTAATTCCTAGTCAGTGGGACATTTAAGAAATGCTTTCTAGAATGCAGAAGATGGGTAACAGGAAGGCACAAGGAAATACGAGACTTAGATTCAAACTTGAAGGAAGAAAAGCACATTGTGAGCAAAAGTGTGGAGATATGAGTTTGTGGGAAAAGAATAGTGTATGTAGTGTGATTGGAGATTTTCTCAGGCATCAGGGTAAATCAGTTTGTGTCATAAGTGGTACCAGATTTGGGAGGCATGGTAGTGTTAGTCTCACATGATTGGACTTGACCTCAGAAGCATTGGAAATCCAAAAAGAAAAAAAAAATTTTTAATTTAAAAAAAGGGGGGGGGGGCGGCGCCTGGGTGGCTTAGTTGGTTAAGTGTCTGACTTCGGCTCAGGTCATGGTCTTGTGGTCTGTGAGTTTGAGCCCTGTGTCAGGCTCTGTGCAGACAGCTGAGAGCCTGGAGCCTGCTTCGGATTCCATGTCTCCCTCCCTCTCTGCCTCTCCCCTGCTCATGTTCTCTCTCCCTCTCTCTCAAAAATAAATAAACATTAAATATTTTTTTAAAAAGCATTGGAAATCTGTTAAGACTATAGTTTCTAAGACTTGCTGTACCTTTTACAAAAAACTGTTAGTGCATAATCTCTCAAAGGTCATACCTCAACCCTGGAGTAGCTATGTAGAAATGAGAAAACTGAGTTTCAGAAAGGTTAAGTAAACTGACCAGAGGAACATGCTTTGTTAAACCATACAGGAACCCAGATGGTCTCATTTAAAGTCTTCAGCTATTATTTCTAAAGTAAGAATCAAGAAGAATGTGTGTACGTGTGTGCGCGCATGCACACGCACGCGCGCATGTGCGTGCATGTTGGGAAGATGGGGTGCATACGAGTTTGAAGCTGATATGCACAAGGTGCTTTTTAAAGAAAATTAATCTGGAAGGATTAATTAGGAAAACTGTTGCCTGGCACTGGGTGAAATGGTTTGGAGTGGGGAAATATTTCTGTAAGAGGATGAATGTCTGAGTTCTAGTGATGATGGGAATGAGGAACACATAGAATGAAGTCCCTGCTGTTTAGTTTGACAAGACAGAATAGTTAAAAAACACGTAAGATGTGATCATGGAATGCTAGAAATGCCATTTTGGTAGTGTTTGTAATAAAAATAATGGTTGAACCAATTGCATGTGTTAAACACTTTGCCAACTGCTCTACATTCCTTATTTAATCTTCATAATAATTTTACAAGACAGCTACTACTATAATTCCCATTTACAGTCAAGAAAATGGAGGCTCTGAGACAGTAAAGAATTTACTCAGGGAGTAGAGACTTGCATTGGAAAAGCCAGGACTCAAATCCAGTTTTCCTTTTCTCTCTAGACTAGAGTAGTAGGGAAGTAGTGAGAGGTGAGAGATTACTCTGACAAACCATATCACTAATATGATGTATTTTTTTCTGATTTTTTAAAATCTCCTAGGCCCATTATCAGCTCAAAATGTCACAGTTATTCATGTGACTCCAACAGAAATATTTTTACACTGGAATCCCCCAGATCTTGTATCTTTTCACCATTATCTTGTGACGATTTTGGATGTTGAAAACAATAAATCCGAAGAGGTGTTTGTTGAAAAACTCAACACATCAATGAGAATTGGAGATCTCAAACCTTTCCATCAGTATCTGATATATCTATTCAGTGTAGCCGAAAGAGGAACTCTAAGCTGCTCTGAGAGACCTATTTCAGCTGTGACAGGTAAGCACTGACTAATTTTGCCTTAAAAAAACATATATATATATATATATATATATATATATATATATATATATACATATATATATATATACACTTCATATTTTTAAATTCATATTTGCTGAAATTATACTGATCCTTCATTGGTATGAATACTCACAGTTAAACATTTGAGTGTTGAATCAAAATTAAGCATAGATTCTAAATACTAAGTTCATTTAGATTTATATGAACTCTTTAAGCATCTGCATTGTTCCTACCAGAGTTCCCAGAAGACATATTTATTATAATAGCCTTGTCTGGAAAAGAAATTATCATGAAACACGAAGATTAGTTCATCCAGTTCTCTTTAATAACACTATATCCGACAAATAGGTCTGCAAATGTAGTTTTACTTGATTCTTCTTTTCTCACACAGTGTGATGAATTGACCTCTAGGGGGCAGTCTCATCCCAGGACTTTTGGCCAATGTATTTCTAATAATTCACCTCCACATGGCAGTTTTGAATTCTTGTCTAGAACATGATCATTAACGTAATCTATCTTTTAATTAAGCAATATATTTACCCCCTTAAGTATAAGTCAACTTTTTTGATAAATACTATTGTATGAAACAATCCATAACTAAGTAGGTTTTGGAGAATATCCCTGTGGGTGTAATTGTTTTGTTTGTGCGTGTGTATTTAACACGCCTATATGCAAAGTTCTTTGGCTGAAATTCCCAATAAAATCACAGCAGCTAAAATGTACACTAGAGCTGAGGTAGCAGGAATGCAAAACATGCGTAGCCATAGTTAATTAGCCTTCTCATGCTCACTGGGAATACTAGGGATACTTTGAAAATAAAAACAAAAGATACTATTTAATGCTTACTAAATGCAAATACTTAAATACATGTATTCAATGTTATAAATCCTAAGCAAAAGCATTTTTCCAAGCGGATGGTAGATAGCTGATGTTTTTTCTTCGCTGAGCTCAGACAAAGCACCCTTCAATGGATAAATGCTTGGTTGAATCTTTTACACTTACAGAGATGCTTTCTTTTTCTTTTTCTTTTTTCTTTTTTTTTCATCATGTAGGTTTCAGGTGTAAAGCATTATAATTCAACATCTGTATACAGTACAAAGTAACCACCCTCAAAGTTCTAGTTACCATTCATCATGTTACAAATGACTCTCTTCACCCCTTTTGCCCACTCTCCAGCCCCAATCCCCCTCTGGTAATGTAATGATAGATCTCTTCTCTGTAAAATGCTTCCATTTTTTTAAGGGAGGACAAAAACATTTATTTTTAGTTGATTTTTGGAGGGAGAAGTGCCTGAAAGTGGGAGGGAGGGGAGAGGGAGAGAGACCTAGAGAAACTTAACTGGGCTCCACACTCAGCATGGAGCCCTATGCAGGGCTCGCCCCCATGACCCTGGGATCATGAGCTGAGCCAAAATCAAGAGTCAGATGCTCAACTGACTGAGCCACCCAGGCACTCCAAAATGCTTCCATTTTTTAAATATTCATTTATTTTTGAAAGAGAGAGATAGACAGAGTGGGAGTGGGAGAGGAGCAGAGAGACAGGGAGACACAGAATATGAAGCAGGCTTCAGGCTCTGAGCTGTCAGCACGGAGCCCCACACACGTCTCTAACCCATGAACTGTGAGATCATGACCTGAGCAGAAGTTGGAGGCTTAACCAACTGAGCCCCACAGGCACCCCAAAGTGCTTCCAAATTTAACTGACAGGGAGACTAGGAGGATTTCTCACAGATCATTAATTTCGAACCTAAATTAAAATCTCCCATGGCATGTACCTATTTAATAGAGGAACAAGAGAAAGGTACATGTGTCTGCACTTTTAATTTTGGGGTTATTTGCTGTGCATATTAACTGTAAGCTGACGTGACACAGCAGTGCAAATGTAGGTATTGGTATTCCAGTGCTCTTTTACTCTCCTAAGGTTGAGGCAATATTCTTTTTTCATTCATTATTCACTCAAATTAATTTTTAGAATCAGGAACCACAACAGGTACTAGAGATGCAAAGAGGAGTAAAACCTGACCTCTGCCTTCAAACGGCTTACATGCTAATAGAATAAGACAAATAAATTGAGAAACAGTGCTGATGCTGTATTATAGTTGCTACTACAGGGGTTATGCTGCGGGTACTATGGGAGCATAGAGATGGATCAATTAACCCAGAAGTTCTTCTGGTGGAGTCATGTGCTGTGTTGTGAGGAAGAGTAGGAGTTAGCGGGGAGGGGGGTGGGGGTCGTCAAGAGGATGCTGCAAGCAGGGCAGAGAGCAAGTGCACAGGCAGAGAGGACTAAAGGAGAGGAATCTATCTAGCCATACCTGGGAAAGCCAGATAAGGCTTTTAGAAAGGAATGGCATTAGAACATGAGCAAATTATACATTGTTTGGCAAGGCTGGAGTACAGGGGGCATGTGGAGAGAGTCTAAAAAATGTAAGCTAGGCACAGAACATGAAGAACCTTCATACGTATGAAGGAGTATATTTTATTCAGTAAAATTCAGCTTTTGGGGGGGTCATGGAGACTTTTGAGGACATGGAAAAATTAACAGACCCTCTCCCATAAAAATGCACATGGATGCAAGAAAATTCTGTCAGTAATTACAGGGGAATCACAGATTCACCAAATCTCATCATTTCCTCAATCTCTGCTTATGTAATGAAATCCAGTAGATTTCATCTCAGTCCTCCACTGAAGGAAGTATTTTAAGTTTTGTAATTATACAAGAACAAAGTTCTGAAGTTGTTTCACCCTGGATTCTAGGGGGAAGTTTTTCTAATTGGATTATTATAGCATTCTCTGATACTTACAATGTGGTGTTTTATTGTGTTGATAAAGAAATGAAGTTCAAATAAAAAATCAAATTATAGTTCCTGGGAACAAAGTAATTATGGAAATCATAGAGAATTCCTTAAATATTATTTGAACTACCGAACGGTTTAAAATTACATAATTATTCTTGGACATGATTGACCTTTGTGTTGATGAACTATTAAAATTTAGGGAAGAATATAATGCAGAACAAACAAGACTGAAAGGAGGGAATTACTATTTCTAGAGAATTGTATTAAAAATCACAAGGCTTGGGGCGCCTGGGTGGCGCAGTTGGTTAAGCGTCCGACTTCAGCCAGGTCACGATCTCGCGGTTCGTGAGTTCGAGCCCCGCATCGGGCTCTGGGCTGATGGCTCAGAGCCTGGAGCCTGTTTCCGATTCTGTGTCTCCCTCTCTCTCTCTGCCCCTCCCCTGTTCATGCTCTGTCTCTCTCTGTCCCAAAAATAAATAAACGTTGAAAAAAAAAAATCACAAGGCTTGATAAATAAATTGTGTAAGGAGGAAGCCAAAGTATTTTGTCAGTTATTATGATAGAATATCTGGTGATATTCTACAAGAATGGCAAGCACAACCTGATACTGTCCTTTCTATTTCCAAATGAGTGCCATACCTTTCAGAAATTAGAGGAGTAATATAAAATTCTAGCCATTTTTGTGATAAATACCAGTGCCAAGCTAAAAGCATCTATATGTTAATGACTCCCAAGTTTATATCTTTAGCCCCAGGCCTTTCTTCTGAACTTCAGACCTAAATATGTTTATTCAGTAATATATCTCATTTGGATCTCTGATAGACATCTTAAATTCAACATGTCCAAAATGGAATGGAATGGAATTACAGATGTTTCCATCCAAATCTGCCTATAGTCCTCTCAGGTCAATTCATGGCCATTTCTTTCATCCAGTTGTTTAGGTCAAAAACCTTGAAGGTATCACTGACTCTTCTGTTTTTCTTACAGCCTACACCCAATCTGTCAGGATAACCAGTTGTTTCTATCTTTGCAATAAATCTAGAATTCCAATACTTGCCACGGCTTCCCTTAGGCCTGTGGTCATCCTGGCCACCCTCCCTGCCAAGAGTACTGGCTTGCTCCTCTGTTTCTACCATTGACCCTCTCTATTATTAACATAATAGCCCAAGTGATTCTTTAAAATTTAGGAGAGATCATGCTTCTGTATATCACTGTAGTTGCTACCTGCTTTGTTCAAAGTGAAAGCCTATGAAGCCTTCTGTTTTTTTGTTTTTGTTTTTGCTTTTTTTTTCCTTCCTGGAAAACTCTTTTTTTATTTTTTATAAAAAATTTGTTTTAATATTTATTTATTTTTGAGAGAGAGAGACAGAATGCAGGCAGGGGAGGGGCAGAGAGTGGGGGGACACAGAATCCAAAGCAGGCTTCAGGCTCTGAGCTGTCAGCATAGAGCCCGATGCAGGGCTTGAACTCACAAACCGTGAGATCATGACCTAAGCTGAAGTTGGAGGCTTAACCAACTGAGCCACCCAGGTGCCCCTTGGAAAACTCTTCTTTCAGACATGGCATGGCTAACTTTGTTAACCTCCTTCACCTGCTGTGCTGAAAATCTCATCTTTTCTTTTTTAATTTTTTAATGTTTATTTTTGAGAGAGAGAGAGAGAGCGCGCGCGTGCGCGCGCGCACCCGCGCGCGCACAAATGGGGGTGGGGCAGAGAGAGAGGGAGACACAGAATCTGAAGCAGGCTCCAGGCTCTGAGCTGTCAGTACACAACCCAATGTGGGGCTTGAACTCACTAGCAGTGAGATCATGACCTGAGCTGAAGTTGGACACTTAACTGACTGAGCCACCCAGGCACCCCAAAATCTTATCTTTTCAAAGACACCTGCCCTGGATTCCCTATTTAATACCACAACTTCCTCCCTACAGCCACTACACTACTGTTCTCGCTAACCTTAGCTTACTTTTTCTTTTTTACCTTAGCACTGTCATATCTAATGTACTATATAATATACACTTTGGTATATGATTGTTTACTGTCTATTTTCCGCCCATTAGAATATGAACTCCATAAGACAGTGACCTTTGTTTTTTGTTGATGTACTCTACATGCTGAGATGGGTGCCTATGCGCATTTGATGAAAAAATGAATAATTTTGGCAATGGGAACGTTACTCTGATGGCACCCTTAAAATGTGAAGAATTTGCTAGATACTTTTTAGTTTCCCTTGATGTATAATGTGCTTAATCTTATTGACAAATCTTGCATACTAATAACAAGACACATTTTTCTCTAAAATTGAGTTTCAAGACAGTGATATAGGGATTTGCTAAATTTACTTTAACCATTAACTAATATTGGGTTAAGACATTTTTACAACAGCAAGAGTAATGTTAACAATAAACTAAGATAAGTGTATCTATTTATCTGTTTCTCTAAGGTATTAATCCTCCTCAGAAAGTTCATGCTAAACCTGAAGATGTGGGAGAGGACAGTATAATTCTTCACTGGGAACTCCCACAAGATGGCCATGAGGTCTACATTCAAATCAAACCCATATCAGATGCAAGAGAAGTCAGGAAGCTTTTTGTAAAAGATGCTAATAGATTCAAGATTGATAATTTAACCCCTGGAATGACATATGACATTGGAATGGCAACAATGATGAATGGGAACTTGAGTGAGCTGGTAACTATTCAACAAACTCTAAGTGAGAATCAAATATTTTTCATTCATAACAGATATTTGCTGATTTGGGAGTATTGCAAAATATTCCCCTATACATCCTTCTGGTAGCAGGTTTTACCCTTGTAAATAGATTGTAGGCGTGTTTGTCTGATGGTAGCCTCAGGACCTGGAGCAGTTTGTATTTCTTTTCTCCTGAAAATGCTTAATGCTTAAATAAAGGCAGCATTGTCTATGGCTAAGAACTTGACCCTAAAGCCACACTACCTCGGTTTATCTGGGTTGAACTATTTGAGTGACCCTGGGCAATGTACTCAACCTATTTATGCCTTAGTTTCTCTCTACATTTGTAAAGAGGAAGAAAATAATAGTCTGTATTTTATGGGTTTTCCTGAGACTAGCTGATTTAATAAAGGGAAGGACTTAGAACAGTGCCTATAGCTATAGGCTATATAAACATATAGCTATATAAATGTTTGTAATTATTATTGAATCAACAAAGGCCTGCTGTTGTAGAACATTGACATAAAATATTGACAGTATTTATAGGTTTAGGACCAAACCAATGACAGAAATCTATGTTCTTTCTCAAATACGATTAATTCACTCAATAGATAATCATTGAAAAATCTGTTAAGGAGGGAGAATGAAAAGAAATGGGAAATAAATAAATCATATTTATGGATATTTATAAATTGTGATAAACATTAGCAGGGAAAAAAAGCAGAGTGACGTGATAGAGAGTAACTGAAGAGGGGTGGATGGTTCTAGTGTAGATAGACTGTAATGGGAGCTGTATTTGAATGGAGGCCTAATGGATGAGAAGGAGCCAGAGCGTAATAAGATGGAGAAAGGGTACTTTAGGCATGAACACCTAGCATAAAGGCGCACAAAGCCCAAAAAACAGGAAAAAGCTTGGTATATCTGAGAACAAAAAGGCCTGATACATGGTGTCTAATGAAGAGGGAGAAGGGGAATAAGAAGTGATATTGGAGAAGTATGCAGGGGTTAGATCACATAGAACTTGTAGGCTATGCCTTTTTTTCTTTTAATTTATTTTTTTAATGTTTACTTTTGAGAGAGAGAGAGAATGAGGGTGAGTGGGGGCGGGGCTGGGAGAGAGAGGGAGACACAGAATTGGATCAGGCTCCAGGCTCAGCTGTCAGCACAGAGCCCACCATGGGGCTCAAACTCACCATCAGGGAGATCATGACCTGAACTGAAGTCAGATGCTTAACCCAGTGAGCCATCCAGGCACCCCTAGGCTGTGCTTTTGAGTTTGTTTTGAGGGCAATGGGAAGTCATTGAGAGTTTTATGCAGGCAAGTTGATGATATGAATCAATGTAGAATGATATGAGTCAATGTAGAATCTTCCCATTTTGTGCTCCAAAGACTAAAACTAAATTTGTATATAACTTTCATATTTAAATTTCTAAGGAAACATACCTGAAGATAATTATCATAGGAAAAAATTAAAAGAAAACACATGAAAAAGAGATATTGCTAAAAAAAATTATTTCATGCCCATCAACCCCTAAATTTTTATCAGCAGAATGGAAGTATGGAAATTAAAATGCATAGATAGGAAATAAACTGTAACCAATTATTAGCAGTATGAGGTTAGGGTGCCCCCACATCATCTAGGTGCTAAGTTTTCTCTCTAAAAATTTAGATTATTGAATACATTTTTAAATCAACTTCCAGCTCTAAAATCCTATTTTTCTTTGACTCCATGGAACTTGGCATATTTCAACCCCCCTTCCATCTCAAATATAAAAATTTTATCTCCATTTCTAGATATAATGAGCTTTTTAAAATTTTTACTCAGCTTTATATCTCCATGTCTAAGCACAGTTCTTGACTCTGTTTAATTCAAACACTTCTTTGCAAAACTGCTCTTCTACATGGATGCTGAAACATGATTAACATATATACATCCCAGGAAAAATTACAGAATTTGAGGATTTGAAGTTAGGACAGAGATCATCTTACCAATGCCTCACCTGATAGGCAATTGCTAGCATAGTGCCTCTGATCATTTTGTAATGAATCCCTGTAATTTTCCTCTATTATAAGGCCATGTCTGTTTTCCAGAGCATCACAGAGCAAACTACTCCCTAATTCCCATGAAAGGACATCAGTTGCTTGGAAATAGCCATTAGGTGTTCCTAGTGTATATAGAGTCTTCCTTTCTGGTGAATTATCTTTAGTTCCTTCAAGCATTTCACTATTTCTTAGAATTCCGTAGGCTTTTCTAGTCATTTATTAACCTTGGTAAGCACTATTAGCATCATCAGATTATTTATCATTCATCATTTTTACTTGTCTCAGATGATGAAACAAATATTAACCTATCCCAGTGTGCATACATAGAAATTCTTTCCCTGCATTGTTTGTTGATAACTATTATTTACCACATCCTATTTCTTTTTCATACACATTGAGACAGTCAAGCACAATAGGACATTTACCTTTTAATGACATTTTGTAGACATGTAGAAGAAAAACAATTTACATGTTCATTGATATCCCTTTTCCCTTTGAAACATATCTATCCATCTCTCTAAATTATCCTAAAAATAACTAGCAAAACTTAATTTCCAGTTATTATTGTGCCACACTTGAACTGTAATATATGACCTTTGGGTGAAGGTGGTGCTTATGAGTGCAGACCATCGAACTAGATTGCCTGGGTTGGAATTCCAGCTCCATGATTATCAGCTTACATCCATTAGGAAGTCACACAACCTTTAATGGCCATCAGTTCCCTCTCTCTAAAATGGGAATGATAATAATCTTATCTACATGTGAAATTAATATAATTTAAGGGTTCAGACACCAAGCAAGCACTGTGAGAGTGTTTGAGGTTATAATTTTTATTTCTCAATAGAATTGGACTAGTGACTTTGAGGACTGATGACCATTCCTAGTATTTCAACCACAGGAAAGTCATTTCAGTTATCTCTGCAGTTTCTCTTTGTTGGCAGAATTAACTGTACTCAAGTTTTCTTGAGGGAAGAAGAGCTGGTGTTTGAGTTTCCTTTTTTTCCTCTCAGTATAGAAGAATCAATTTCAAGATAGACTGGGAAACTCTGAGACCGCATTCTCCCTTGCCTATAATAAAAGCCTTTGAATTTTTGGCCTTGTGTTTATCTTTATTGAAAAAAACGCATACAGCCCTCAATGCTACCACTTCTTTTGAAAAAGCTTTTTCAGGAAAATGGGTAGGGATAAAGGTCACAGTCTTTCCTCATTATTCATAAATATTTCATTTATTTTTTTTTTATGTGAAACCTTCTCTCACTTGAGTTTCCAGAGATTCAGGATAGATATTTGAAGAGAAAGAAGAACTTTGTCCTGTTCTATACCTTTCCAGCCTTTGTGTTCATCTGTTTTAATGTGGCATATATTGATGCCATTGGTCTCATTTCCCTGAACAAGTGGAACTGATGGAAAACCCCATATTTACCCACTATAGAGAATGTCACAGACTCCATACACTTTTGGAAACTGAATTAGACAATGCCTATTTAAAGCATTGTCTCTGCTTAGAAAATACCTTCAGCACCCAGGAACATGGGAGTGCACTGTTTCCATGACTGTGCTGGCCACTCATTTCCAATCTCCAGATGTTTAATTTCTGCTCAAGGTATATTCAGAAGCTTTCAGGTCATTGTCCACACGTCCAGATGGGTATGATACTTACGGGATGTCATAGTAGCCTCTGAAAAACCATGCTTAGTGTAGAGCTTTTTAACTGAAGAGAGCTATAAAGAATTTAAAGAGGAAACCCATAAAAAACATTAGTGATGACAGAAAAAGAAAAGATAACTGGAAAAGGAAAAACATGGTTAAAGTGCTTTGAAACACAGTAGTATACCATATGGTATTTGTTATGGGTGATATGTTGAACATTTCTTCATAACTATGAAAAATGATAAAGGCAAGAAAGTTATATATTACAAATGAATGAATTGATGGAAATAATGTACAGTTTTTATATTGTAGAATGTTAATAATAGGTATGTGTTAAAATCCATTTATACAGTACTGGCTTTGGGTAAATTGGCAGAATCATATTATCAATTACAGTATCAATGATTGAGAACAAGTTCAGTTGCATCTAATCAGATGTCACAAAACTGAAAAGGAAAGACTGTTTAATTACTCTCTGAAAGAAAAAATATACTTCAGAATGTATATCTTAGAAGAAGATATCTACTGGAAAGGACAGATCTAAGGTTAAACTGGGTAGTATTTCAATAATCTACAAATAGATTTGATATTAAAATTGACCTGAGGAAGAAATAATGTGAATAGAAATCATCTAAAATTTCAAATCTGCTCTAAATGGCACAGTAGAAGATTACAGTACAAGAAAGCTCTTACGTAGAGGTCAATGAGAGTGTGAAATGTAAGCATATCTTTCCTCTAAACTCTTGCCCGGTCTGTGTTCCTAAAAATGAAATGAAATGTCTGCTCAAAATCCCTGTGCCTACAGGATAAAATCTGACCTCCACAGCATGGCATGCAAGGCCTCTCGCAGACAGCGTCCAGTGTCAGAGGTGGCCTTCCATGCCTGGTCTTCCATTCCCTGTTCCTCACACACACTCCAGGCTTGAAACACCTGAGCACCTGCCATGCGCCTGGAACTAAACCCTTTGTGTAGAAATACAATCTCTCATGGAATCATCACAAGGACCTTGCAAAGTAGATACTAGTCTTTTCTTTCCCATGTTAGGGAAAGGGAAACCAAGGCACAACTTGCCAAAGACTAACAACTAGTTGCCAAAGATTAGTGACTAGTAACTTGCCTTGCTAGTAAAAAGGTGAAAGAACTTGGCTGAATACATGATGATGATGATGCCCTTTTTTGGTTTCTATGCCTCACTCATGGCTTCCTCTTTGTCTGGAATTCCCTTCTTAATCATCTCTCTCTACCACATACTCTTTCCGGTAAACTTGTACTATCCTTTAAGATTCAGATAAAAAAACCACAGACTCTGGAAGCCTTCCCCAGTGATATCCCCTAGAATTCTTTTCTTCCCCTATTCTCAATAGCTTTTTGTTCACTTTACCAACTCAGCTCTATCCATTTGGGATTCTAGTTGGTGATTTGTGTATCTCTTTATTGAGACTGGGAACTCTTTGAAAGAAGGAACCTTGGCCTTATTTACTTTATTTAAGCACTCCTCCTAGTATATAGGTTTTCAAAAGCCTTTGCTTAATAAATAGATAAAAAGGTAAAACAAATTGGAAAATTTCAGTTTCCTATGTTTTTGAGACTATTATTGAGAATCAAAAAATTAAAGTTAATCAGTACTTCCAAAATATGTACAGTCTGTCTTAGTGTCCACCTTACTGACTGACATAGTAAACATAAGTTAGCACAGGCATTTAGTGTTTTCACATATTCTAGAACATAGCAGACAAAATAGAGAAATGTACTTGAAATTAAAAAAACAAAACAAAACACTAATTATAAATCTCTCTTTTTATCTTTTAGAGCCCAAACCAGTCCAAATTGTCATCCCATATGAAAGTCATAGTACCTCTGTAATCTTATTTGTTCAAATGCCTGATACTGGAGTGTTTGATGGCATACATATTGTAATTGAAGGAGGACCAAATGTTACCAGGCCTTTGAAACATGACAATAAAATAACTGTTGGCAATTTAACGCCAGGCACAGAATATAATTTCTTTGTTTCCATCATCAGTGGTACTAAACTAAGTAATATGTACTATGTGCCTGCAGTAAAAACATGTAAGTATTTTGGGACTTACATAAGGTTTTTTTTTTTTTTTAATTTTGACTTTGTGTCCCATTTTATATTAGTAGGCTACATTCACTTTAATGCAGTTGTTTTCAAAGATCTTTTAAAAATAATTACAAATACCTTACTACTGAACCTAATCTTTCATTGTTCTAGTATACAGATAGAGCTAACTTTATGTAAAATTGAGAAGTCATGAGTTTTTTAAATCTATCCATTAAGAAGAAAACATACTTGAATCTTAATCATAACTTTCAATGACTTATTTCAAGAGTGAGGAATGTGAATAATTTTAGGCAGATGAGAACTAGGTTATATTTTTTGAGTCTAGAGACACTTAATAGTATCTCTCAAAGCACATAATCTTAGCATGTGTTTGCTCTCTCCATACTGCCTTTGTCTGGAAAGAATTAGGGTATGTTTTCCTTCTTTGAATATTTAAAATTAGTACATATTATATTTGTTCATACCAGAACTTACATTTTGAATTTCATATCAATTTTGATTTGTTTTTTCTTTAAGTCACTCATGTATTCTACAAATAATTCATTTTGAGCATTTGGGATACATGACATTTATCTAAGATATTGACCTCGTATATATAGAAATGAATGGCACAGAGTAATAAATGCCATACAAAAATAATATGTAGTCCTGAAAATGTTATAATTCTGACTATAAACATGTCCAGGTTCTTTATGTTTTGCTCTTCCTTGTCTATAAATCTTCACATATATTATTATACCACCATGTGTCTTCTTCCTCGCGAGCTGTAAAATTTCTATTACTGTTTAAACTCACCTTTTCATAAAATACTCCCAAACTGGTACCACTAATCACGTTGTTGTAATAGAACCTTAACATATTTATAATCAGCTCAATATATATTTATACTTTGTTTTTACTTACAATTTTTATGTATTATTATATCTCTAAATCTGCCTCTTCCTTATTTAAATTATAAATCATTATGAGCAGCATTCTATTTGACAGTTCTTGTTTTTAAAAGTAATTAGTACTTGATCTTCTACATATGTCAATATTGTGATATAATTGGCAAAATATATCAGTATATAAGATAGTAGTATAAAGCTGCAATTTTTCTAGGTTTTCTGAAATAATATCTTTTTCTTTATGCTGAATGGGATCTTTAGCATGAAAACATAACAATTAAAGCTCATAAGATAAAATTCGGTTTTAGCTTCAGCTAATATTCGATACAAAGAGGATTCTTTTACCCCTTCGTCTGGACTTCATATTTTTCTCTATGTTGACTTTTTAGTTTATGATAATAGTTTCAGAAAGCTTAAATCTCTTTTTTTTTTCTTTTAAGTATTGTACGTTTGCTCCTGGGAATTTGCTGCTATTGTAGTTTTTGCTGCAAAATCAAAATTAGCTGCTTGTTATGGTGTTTACCATAACTCTGAGTATTGCAACTGATTATTATATTTGATAAACTGTTGTGTTATGTGTAAACAACTGTTTTAATTTAGGATATAAAGATAGTTGATTAATAAACTTTACTGTTCTTTTCTCACCTTGTGTTTTTTTCCTCCTTTAAAGGGATAAATTAAAAAGAAAAACCCAGTTAGAAAACATAGAAGAATTTAAATGTGTTGTGTGTTTTGGGTAGGTCTGGAAGCACCATCAAATATCCATGAGGGCAAAGTAACAGACTCTTCCATAGAAATTCTCTGGAATCGAGCTGATGGGAATTTTCAGCATTATGAAGTCACATGCATGAACTGTACTTCTGCTTTCATGGTACGTTAGAAGCGGCTCTCGGAAGCATTAAACTTGAATCTTTCATGCTGAGTCCAATATTACTGCATTCTTTTATGTTAGATAGTAGTGAAACTAAATAACCCCCATGCTTATTTGGTTGTGTTGAATTGTGGAACATTTTTTAAATGAACAGTTGCTAATTTATTCTTTTGGATTGATAGGTCCAGAAGGTAGTTCAAGAAGCAGCAACATTCTCTAACCTGGATCCTGCGACAGTGTATACTTTTTCAATTTGCACTGAAAAAGAAGGTTTTAAAGACAGTGCTCCTAACGTAAAAGAAATACAGACAGGTACAGCCTGTGTAAGCCCTTGAGGTATTATTCAGTGTTCCATTCAACATTGAATCAATGTTCAAATATTTATTTCATCCTTTAGGGAAGATTTAGTCAATAGTTTGTTATTCCCAGATTTTCTTTATGGGCAAGCAGTGTCCTCTCTTGTCTCTTTTTCGGTTTCCCCTTATATGGGTCAGAAAAACCTCTTTTGTAAATGTATTGCCAGGCAGTAGAGTAGCTAATTGTCTGGGGTCTGGCCAGATTTTCCATTTGTGATTTAATTTCTTCATTGTTCAGTCAAGCAGACAATGAAGTGACATTTCCCCAGTGTTAGCAACTTACTCCCAATGGCAGATGGTGATTTATTCCATGCTTGTCATATGAAATAAGGGATGATTGGGAAGGATGTATGCAAAATGTATACATTTTCATATCTGAATGAAGTAAAATTTTCAATTATTCTATAATAACTATGTTAATGATTCTTGACAGTGGTTTATTGATTTGTGTATTTAGGAACTGGCCATAGCTTGTATTCTTTTACTATAAAAACAAAGAATGGAATTGGGAGAGAATATTCTTGACAATTTTGTTCTTTTCTTTTACATGGAAGAATTTTAGAGACAAAACAAAATACATATTATATACTATTTCATTTAACTTTTCTCCCTAGGAAAGAAGGGAGTATTTCACATTTAGATTGCAATTAACATTTCTGCTGATTAACTTTGTCAGTATTTGGTATTTAATTGGAATGAGTCCTAAAAATCATTAAATACTTTGCAGATTGGTGGTGTTGGGAGGAAAAATAATGTTCTCTCCATCTTTCTAGGTCCTTTACTGAGGACCCCCCTTCCCCCCGCTCACCTGTGTAAGACAGATTAACAGGAGAGAAATAAACATATATATATACTTCATGCATACGTGGGAGAGACCCAGGGAATCTGAGTAACTCCCTGAAATGGCTTAAGCCACCACCTTAAATACCATCTCCAGCTAAAAACAAAAGAAAATGTTGAGGGGGTACGAGGGAGCCAGTTAGTGGAGGCTACTAGGAAAACCTAGTAAACAAGTGTAAAGTGGTTATGCAGATTTAGGTCTGCCTTCTCCATTGGCAAGAATTTCTAGAGATTTAGTCAGACTTCTCCTAGTGTAGGGAGGGAGACACCCTTACGAATGGAGATTTTCCTTGTAAATTTAAGAGTCTCTTACAAAGGATAACTTTTAACTCAGTTTTCAGAGTTTCTCGTGTGTCTGCTGTTTCTTTTAAGAATAACCAACTCAAAATCATCCTTATGCCAAAGAGGCATATTTTGGGGTGGCATATTCTGTTCCTTTTCAGTTGTGCAAGACCAAGATACAATCTTTCCCTACATTTTTGAGGCGAGGGAAATACTGATTATAGTACTACAATAATATATATTGGTTCCACTTTAAAGTTTAAAATTATTCTTGCTGTTTTTTTTTTTCTCTTTTTTTGACTTTTAACTTATCATCTATCAGGAAGAATAAAAGGAATGTTTTGGTTACCCTCAGAGTTTGCAGAAAGTGAAACAAATCTTGAGGGTGTTTCAGGGCTATTTTAGACCAGGTGCTTTGTGCGGTAGAAAATGTTATTTTATGTGTATGTTTTAATGATATAGCCCCAAGTGCAGTTGAATTTATGAACCATAGTAGAAACTCCAATGCAATAACTGTTAGCTGGCCTACAGCTAGAAGTCTTCTGGACGGATACATTATTTCAATATCCAGCGGAATCTTAATGAAAGAGGAAACCCTGCCTTCCACAAAAAGGTATGAAAATCCTGAAAAGAAATTGTGTCAAGTTACATGGACCATGAGATTAACATTTTATATATGTTTTTCAAATGCTATACTACTGGCTTAATATAAACAGAAATTAGAAAATTTGTAAGACAACTTTTTTGGCTACGATGTGATTAGAAAATGTCTGAGATACAGTGACAAATCTGTTTTGCAAATAATAATAAATTAATACAGGATATCTCATGCTTGTATGTATAATACGCACTTTTTGACTTAAGTGAATTTCTCTGTGTAAGAGGCTATGATTTCTAATTAACTATTTATGCTTATGAAGCATAGCAGATTGTTTCTGTGATAGACAATAAAAACACCACAAGACTTATATGTAAAATTCTCTTTGTAGACAGGGTGAGAAGATGGGAGTTTTCCAAATGTTTCTGAGCTAAATGTTTTAATACATGAATTTTTTTTAATGTGCAGGGCATTCACATTTAATAGCCTTTCTTCAGGGACTGACTTTTTAATTAGTGTTATAACTACCAAGGGACTGAAAAGAAGCCATCCCACTGTCCTCATGGTTAGCACTTGTAAGTTTATTTTATATTTAATTGACTTTTCATGGGCAAAAAATAATGGAAATGGTTGTGTTTAAAGCCAATATCTAATTAAAAATGAATGAAAATGGAAGTGGTTTATGGCATGCTTGAAGAGAAGAGAACACGGCACTTAACTTGGAAAATGCCTGAGTTGTATTCCTGCCTCTATCACTTATTAATTATGTGACCTTGGGCAAAACTATTAAGTTTTCACTTATAAAATGAGAATAATTATTCCTGCCTGGGTGCAAAATCTTGTTGATAAAATCCAAACACAAAGCTCTCTCTGCAAGTGCAAAGTACTCTAAACCTCAAGATATTATTGTCATGCAATAGTCAATATTTTTCTAATATTTTGAGTATTTAACATTTTATGAAAAACAAAACAAAACTTTTAATATGAAAAAATAAATGGCACTGTGTTTTTAATTGCATTTTGGGGTTCAGTTTGCCTCTTCTGACCTTATTAGCATCACTTGCATGTATGCGTGCCTTGAGCATGTGCAGTGTTCCAAAGATTCCTTTCACTTGTGTGGCCCCGGCACATGCACCTGTATTTAATAAAGTACCAGTGCTCTGTCAGTGTGAGAGGAGGCTTAACCTCAGAATCTGAGATATGGAGGAGGAGAAAGCACTGGAAAATGAGTGATAGTCAAATAAATTCCTGGAAAATACACTAAAACATTTGAGCACTTACGATACACCAACATGATGTTATTTGCTTAAGTCACCATACTGAATCTACCCAGGTAACCTCAAATGTAGGTTAAGGCTCAGAGGTGTTCATTACTAAAGGTGAGATATTTAACCCAGGTATCTAACTCTAAAACTGATATGACATTGCTGCCTCTCATAAAGACCATCCTAAGAAACATCAGAAATAGATGAGAAACAGATGAGAAATGGCTTAATTTTTTTTTAACTTTATTTAAAAATTGTATATCAGTGAAAGTTTCCTTGCTGCTTTGACTTGGGCTGTGCCATTATCATGGTCACCATCACCATCATTGTTGTCATCATCAAATTGAGTGCTTGTTGTTTATCAGGCATTTTGTTAGGTATGCTTTATATCCCTTAATTCTGAGTGACTACTTTTATTCTGTCAATCATAATGTGATGCATATGTTTGTATTTTTTATAAATGAGGAAACTGAGGCTAAGAGAATTTCAGTAGAAATTATATCTTATACAAGATGACAGAGATTTGAACCTGTGTTTCCCTGAGATGAAATCCTGTCCTTGTAACTACTGTGCTTCAGTAGAAAGGCCACTATGTCATCTGCAGGACTCTTGTATTTCTTGGCTCTGTGACTTTGTACAAATTCTGATTCTGTTTGGACCTCAAGATCTTCATTTCTACTCTGGGTTTAATAATACCTTCATATTTCATGATGTTGCTTTGGCTGTGTTTTCTAAGACAAGGCTGGTGACTTAGTAATTTTCCCCATCTCTCTGACTTTACTATTTGACTTTTGTCTTTTACTGTATATTAATAGTTTTTTATCTTGCTGTACCTGCCTTTTTTATCAGCCACCTCAACTCCATTTGGAAGTAGATGGAATAGTAATAAGTGTATAAAATAAAGCTAAAATATATTATGGGAATTTGGAAGCATAATAAATTAATTCCAGTTAGAAGGGAATATGCATTACAGAAAAACAGAATAAAAAAGGATAGTGAATCAGTGACTCAGATTTAAGTGTACCATTGAATTGAATTCTAATAAACTTAAATCAATATGTAAGTAGGGACAAATAAAATCTCATGCAAAATTTGAATTTTAGAGATGAAATTATTCCAAAAAATATTAATATTTCTCTCAGTTAAAAAAAGCAATGTAACATGACAATATTTAATAGGAATTAGAAATAGAGTCATGTTACCAATTTGAAGAATAAGCTTCAAGAACCTTCTCAGTTATAATGTTTAAAGGGAAAAGGAGTTTGTGAACTTAAGGCAGGGGTGATAGATCTCCTACTCTATGCAGTGCATAAAATTGTAAGTTAAAAATCCCAATTTGAATTAAGTTCATACTGAATTTTGCTATGAGAAAAAAGAAATGTTAAAATCCATATTTTACATAATTTTATTGTGGGAAGAGGCTTTCTAGAAAATTGTTTTTTTCTCTTCCGTTGCAGAGTTGGGGAGACAGATTCAGGATAGATTGCTTGCACAAGATCACACAGTACTAAAACAGACTGGAAAAACCTCTGTATCCAAGTCTGTTCCATAGTGTGACAGTCAAGGTTATTTTGTGTATTCATTTGTTTTAAGATATCATTCCAGTGCTTAGTGTCTCTCTCTGTGTGTCCTAGGACTCTTCCATAGTGTGACAGTCAAGGTTTTATTGTTTTGTTTTTTAAAGATATCATTTCAGTATTTTATTCTCTGTCTCCCTCTGCTCCCTACCTACCCCCTCTCCCCTCTCTCTCTCTCAAATAAAATAAAAGGGGGGTGGCACCTAGGTGTTGAGCATCCAACTCTTAATTTTGTCTCAGGTCATGATCCCAGGGTTGTAGGATCAAGCCCTGCTTTGGGCTCCACCTGAGTGTGGAGCATGCTTCAGATTCTCTCTCTCTCCCCTGCCCCTCTCCTCTGCTTGCACGCTCCCTCTCTCACTCTAAAATCGTATTTAAAATATTAGGGACTCCTGGGTGGCTCAGTTGGTTAAGCGTCCAACTTCAACTCAGGTCAGGATCTCACGTTTTGTGGGTTCAAGCCGCACATTGGGCTCTGTGCTGACAGATCAGAGCTTGGAGCCTGCTTCAGATTTTGTATTCCCTCTCTCTCTGCCCCTCCCTCCTCCACCCCCTCTCAAAAATAAACTTTAAAAAAAGTTAAAATTTTTTTTAATTAAAAAAAATGATACCATTCCAGTGTCTTATTTCATTGCCCTAGATCCAGACCCACCATCTGATTTGCTGATTTTGGGGCAGGAAGAGAACACAATGTATTTGTCTTGGAAACTTCCACAAGGAGGCTTTGAAAAGTTTCAGGTAAAGAACGGTGCTGCTATCATACAACCTTGATGTTTAGTAGGGTCTTTATTTCACTCTGTTTTTATTCTTTCTTTTACATTAATGGTTTTAAAAACTATTCTATTTTTCATGCAAGATTTTCCTCCAAAGTAATCTTTTCTATTTACTGCTTTAAAAGTACAAGGTTATCATGGGAAATGGTCAAATATGAATCAAAGTTGATAGTTTAAAAGAGTTTGGTTTTCAGAGATGAAAGGACAGTGAATGAAGGAACAGTGGTGCTGGAGGGTAAAGCTTCTGTGACAGCACTGGCCAGAACAAAGATCTGAGCTGTTTAAACTGGGTGATGTGCTATGGGCTCCCTTTCAACCTTATCCTAGAGATTTAGTTGAGTGGAGACTTCTAGCCGAGGGAGTAGGAGAGTTAAGATATACGGAGCAGCCACTTTTCAACTGGGTCTGTTATTATTTTTACTAAATATGTATGTTTTGCTTGTGTTTTGTTGCTAACAATGTAACTTGGCATCACATGGGGAAATGTATTCACCCTGCATCCTACATTGTACAGTTTGCCAAGTCAACTTCCAGGGACGGTACTGTTGCTTTGCATTCTATGGGGCCAACAACTTTTCCATACTTTCTTAGTGGTAGGAAGTGGCAGTTTGAGTTACAAATAACAGAAAACAACCTGAAATAGTTTACGCAACAAAGACGAAAATGTATTAATACAAGAGAGCCTCATGGGGACCAAGGAAAGGGATATAACTGGGTGTTAGGAAGGCCTACAATCAGATATTTTAAGGCTGTGGAGAATCCAGGGATTATTTTCTTTTCTGTCAACTTCTGCTCATCTGCCTTATTATTACTTTTTCTGATGACCGATTTTCTTTGCTAAGCAATCTGTGTGGTGAGTGAAAGAATGCTGTGTACACTTCCAAGTACAAACGGTACATTATCAGCTACAGAGAGACAGACTCCCCTTAAATTCCCATGGGAAGGACTGTGATTATTCCAAATTGGATTAGATACCTCGTACGGTTCCAGTTAACTGTGTTTGTAGGTCCCAAATCATGTAAAAAAAAAATGGTGGCCACAGGTCTATGGGGGATAGGGATTATAAAAAGAATCATTAGTATTTGGGCAGATACAACAAAAAATGTTTCCCGTAAGTAAAAAATAATATACTATAAAATGTGATAATTTCTCAACTCAGTGCAATCTAAAAGGAACCAGAGCAATAAAACTACTGGATACTTGATGTGAACAGATCAGTACATCTGGGTTTTATGCTTGAGTATGAATTTTTTAACAATTAAGATCAATAAGGGAAAGAAAATAATAGTTACTATATGACAGACATAAAAAGAAGCCACATTTGTTTATAGTATCTGGGCTAAAGATAAAGAAGTAATGTTATAAATCTATCTTTAATTTTTTTAAATGTTTATTTATTTTTGACAGAGAGAGAGAGACAGAGCATGAGCGGGGGAGGGGCAGAGGGAGAGGGAGACACAGAATGGGAAGCAGGCTCCAGGCTCCAACCTGTCAGCACAGAGCCTGATGCAGGGCTCGAACTCACCGCGAGATCATGACCTGAGCCGAAGTTGGGACGCTCAACTGACTGAGCCACCTAGGCACCCTGTAAATCTATCTTTAAGACTTGTATAAAATATAGAGTCTTTTAGTGGTTCTCCACCATTTATCTAATGTACACACGACTTAGTATGGTCTTCAGAGTCAGACTTTAACAACCTGTCTAATCTATTTTCTCTAGATTGCATATTTCAGCAGAATTGTATTGCCTACCATTATCCACATATTTTGTGTTTTCCTGATTCTATTCTTTGGTCATGTTCTTTGGAATATATTCTCTCCCAATTTTCTTTGACAATTCTTTGAGACCCTGCTCAGATATCATTCCCTGTATGAAAGCTCCCTTGAATTTATCAGCCTCCCTTATTAGAAATTTATCAGCCTCCCTTATTGGAAACTTTAGTGTCATCCTTGACTCCTTTTTCTTTCAGCTCCTTATGTACTTGTTTACTGAATCCTGATGATTCCAACTTAGAATTACTGTGAAAATCCTTTTCTTTTCTGTTTCCATCTACTTTGCCTTGTTTCAGGCTCTTACTATCATTGT